CAATTTTTGGGAGCTTGAACTCGCCTGTGCGTATATTGGGGGGGGGGGCGAGGGATCGTGACGGGCGTATAGAAAGTGGGGGATTAGGTCGGTCTTTGGTCTTTTTCTTTTGCTGTTTCTGTCTTTCTTTCTCGCGGATTCTCGTTCGGGTTTTTTTTTCGCTCTCGGATCTTTTCTTTTTTCTTTTTCCTCTCGGTCGTCTCTCTCTCTCTCTCTCTCTCTCTCTCTCTCTCTCTCTCTCTGCTCTCGTCTCTTCTCTTCCTCTCTCTTTCTTCTCCCTCTTCTCTCTCTCTTCTTCTCTCTCCTCTCTCTCTCCTCTCTCTCTCTCTCCTCTCCTCCTCTCTCCTCTCCTCTCCTCTCTCTCTCTCCTCTCCTCTCCTCTCTCTCTCTCCTCTCCTCTCTCTCTCTCTCATCTCTTCTCTTCTCTTCTCTCTCTCTCCTCTCTCTTCTCCGTCTCTCTCCTCCTCTCTCTCATCGTCCTCCCCTCTTCTTCTCTCCTCACGCTCTCTTTCTCAGTCTCCTCTCCTCTCTCTCTACTCTCTTCTATCTACGTCTCAACTATCTCGTCTCCTTCCTCATCTCTCCCCTTTTCCTCCTCCCAAACTTCGCCTCTACGATCTCCACTGAGATCCGATCCGGCGGACGGTCTTTCCGTCTACTCTCAGAACTCCTCTTACCCCCAGGTCCTCTCTCTCTCGTCTTCCTCTCTCTTTTGGTCAATTTTTATACCATGAGTTTATTCTTTTTTCACGAGGTAGAAAATCGAGTAATGTAAAATATTTGGCATATTTGAACATTAAAGATATCTGACTCTTTGTCCGTGCGTGCGTGCGTGCGTGCGTGCCTGCACAGGTGGCGAGCACACCTGGGCGATGACTCTATCTTATCGGATCTCCAATGATCGGGAACGTGCTCGATAAAGTGAGTCACCGATTGGAAGGAGAGGGAATTCAAGCGCGCGCGCACACGCGCCCACGCACACGTACACCCCACACACGTAAACGCGCACACACGTACTTTCGCACACGCACACGCACGCACGCACACCACCACACACACACACACACACACACACACACACACACACACACACACACACACTCACACACACACTCACACACACACACACACCACAACACACACACACACACACACA